AGAGAGAGAGAGAGAGAGAGAGAGAGAGAGAGAGAGAGAGAGAGAGAAACAGATCTTCAAATAGAAAAAAAAAAACAACCATTTTCACAGGAATACTGAATCTGACTGTATCAGTAGCTTGGACTAAGACACAATTGTGCTTTTGCCTGCACATAGATTGTTTCTTAGATGTTCTGCTAAAGTCTGAGTCCCAGGGCCACTGAGAGGGATGACGACTCACAGAGACAAGTTAGAACCACTTACTGCCCGTGATTGAAGGGCTGTGCATTCCCAGTTACTGAGTTCTCGTCTCTGTGCTTCTGTGACCCTCCCAGTCTGAAACGTGCAGCTGCTGTGGCTTTTCCCTTGAGGTTCTTGCTCCCATGCAGATTCTCCTTCCAAAGTCAGGTTCAGACTGCCTGTTCCCCCAAATCTATTCCACATCAAATTCACAGCTAAGCCAAGCAGGGATGCCAACCTCCATCCGCCTCCCTCTTTTCAGAAGAAGCCTAAGCATTTCTAACAACAGCAAGAATGCAGAGTCTCTTGATGAAGTGTTTTTGACATGCCCTGACCACATCTGTAGGAAAGGTCAAATATGACCAGACCCTGTTCGCTTTTTAAAGTGGGAAACAGCCAGGCAGTGGTGGCACACGCCTTTAATCCTAGCACTTGGGAGGCAGAGGCAGGAGGATTTCTGAGTTCCAGGCCAGCCTGGTCTACAGAGTGAGTTCCAGGACAGCCAGGGCTACACAGAGAAACCCTGTCTCAAAAAACAAAAACAAAACAAAAAGTGGGAAACAACTAAAATTAGCCCAAGCCCAAGCTAATGGCTCCTCCTAAAAGCAAGGCTCATTTACACAGCTGAAGAAAATCAGGGATGAGCTGGATGGAGTGAATAACAGACACAGTCAGAAGCCAGGAAGTAGGTGGAGTAATCAGAGAATGAGATATAGCCAGTGACTGAAAAGCCAGTCTTGAACACACTGGTGACTCGGATGGATGGATCTAACTCTAGGATCCTGGTACAACAATGACGTCATTTCAATACAGCATTAAGCTCTGGACCCACCCCAGGAAATGGGTAATATGTTTTGTAATGGCGTGGCATGAGGTGGTGGGAGGGCGTGCCTTAGAGGGCCCATGTTGTGACATCCCCCTCCCCAGGTACCAGCCATACGTGGTCTAGTATAAAATGAAGTTTATTTGGGGTATGAGGAGGGGGGTTGAGAAAGAGTAGAGGCAGAGAGAGAGACGGGGGGGAGAAAGAAAGGAGAGAAGAAGCTGGCTGGGAACACTTGTAGAGAGAAGGGGGAGGAGGGGAAGATGGGAGGAGGGAGAGAGAGAGAGAAAGAGAGAGAGAGAGAGAAGGAAAGAGGGAGGGAGGGAGGGAGGGAGGGAGGGAGGGAGGACACCAAACAATCCTTTTATAGCAAGCTAGGCTCCTACCTGGCTGTTGCTAGGTAACTGTTGGGCAGAGCCTAGAAGAAATGCTAACAGCAGATACTGTGTCTCATTTCAGTAACCAGCTCTCCAGCAAGAGGCAAGTGAGAGAAGAGAAGATTACAAGCTGCCTCATGGATTGAAAGGATACAATCCAGGATGGCAGGAAAGCATGACAACCATACCTGTGGGTGATGGCACTTGGGACATAGCTCAGTGGGCCAGGAAGCAGGGAAAGGGGCGAGCGCCCTCCACTGGCTTTTAGCTTAATTTACCTTGGGGCTTCCAGCTCACCGGATGGCACCATTTACTGTCAGAGCTGGTCTTCTTGCCTCAGTTTGTCTACTCTGAAAATGCCCCCAGAGATACATAGGACCGTGTCTCTCTCACAAATGCTCCGAGTGTTTCTTTATCCAATGAGGCAGATAAAGTTAACCCTCTCAGTACTTGACTGAGTTTTAGTTTCTTCCCCAACACTGAGAGAGAAGCAGTCTTCTTCTTATGAAGGAGGCAGGCGATCACAGCAAGTTTCCATGAAGGGAAAGAAACATACATTTACTAAAAAGAAAGACTACTTAGTAACAATGACAGGCTACTGTGGACTTGCTGTTTGCTATATGCCCTGTCCCTAGACTGACAGTGCCCTTTGTCCCATCAGTAACACCACAAAGATATGTATTTTGGCCTTCCATATGAGGTCTCTCTGGTAGGAGTGTTCTCAAGTTCTAGAGATAACATCTAACTTCATCCTTCTCAGACTGGACACCCAGTGTCTTTACCTCATGGCTAGGTCACCTGGTGTCATCCTAAAGACTATTTTCAGGAAGGAAGCTGGCTTACCTGGAGGAGGTTGGTAGGAGAATTGAGGCCTAAAATCAAACAGCACATTGCTTAAGTACTATCTTACTAGGTTAAATGCATTCCAACACATCAGGATATATGTAATAAGCACTCAAGTTGGAAAAAGTTTCTCAGAGAACAATTTCATCTAGAGAGATCTGAAAAGCCTCACTGTTTTCCATCTACACATCTGGAATTAAGTCCCAAGTATCACAGCAGGCCTTGAGCATCCACCGTGATAGCAAAGTCATGTTATGGTAAACTTGACTTCTACACACCATGATATAACTTAGAGCACAGTCTGAGAAAAAATCAGGGTCCCTAACGTTGTCATAGCATAACTCTGAGGGGTGTCACAGCCCCTCAGTCACACCCTCCTTTTGTGAATATAATTAAAACTGCCCAACTGGGAAGAGGGAGAGGAGAATTGGGAACGAACCATTGACATCTTGAAAGCATGGGCCTGTTCTGATGCAGTGGACACCTTCAACAGTTTTATTAAAAACTGGACCTCTAGACAGCTCCAGGCAGCTCTCCCCGAGGGCACTTACAGAGGCTTATATGGAAAGGTGGAGATGGACACAGAGTTGTAAGGGAGGAGTTTGTTCTGGGGTGATACGGCCATCTTCCATCATGAAACAGACTAGGTATGATGTCCCACAGAGGACTTGGCAAAAGAAGGAGAGCAGCATAGTTGACAGCTGATGTCTGTGGTAATGGGGTCCTTGCCAATCTTGCCCTGACAGGGATTCAAAAACCCCTCAACGGAGTCTCTAATCATCATTCCATTCTGCTCTGCTGTTCATCGTCTCAGGGCAGCTAAAGCATACGAGAGATAAACATTGTCTGAGGCTGAGACCTGTTCAGCGGTGTAGCTGCCCCATGAGCTAACTGTCCTGTGGGCGGTGCTCACTAGTGATGAAGCTGTCCTTGAGTCACCCGTGTTCCTGTCAGTAGCCCTAGTGACCTCACGGGTTCGACAAGCTGGACTTAGCTGCAGTCCTCTTTGGTCTGTAGGCACCTTCTTCATCTGGAATAAAGAGGCGTTTGGATCTCTCCAGACAATGTTATGTGATACATGCTCAAACCATGATCATCAGCTCCATTTCTCCATTCAGAATGCCAGCTTATGGAGGACATAGGGGTGTGCTTCATTCTCTCGTTTTTAACATATCCATCTACTTATCCATCAATCCACCCTTCCATTCATCCATCCACTCATCCATCCATCCATCCATCCACCCATCCATCCATCCATCCATCCACCCATCCTTTCATCCAGTCCATCCATCCATCCACCTATTTATTTAATGTAGGGAGAGCACACATGCCATAGTACTTGTATGTAGTGGTCAAATGATAACCTGTAAGAGTCAACTAGGGAATTGAACTCAGGTCATAAGTCTTGGTAGCAGGCACCTTTACCCACTGAGCCATGTTGCCAGCCCAAGGGGTTCTATTTCATTCATTACTGGGCCTCGACTATGGGATGCCACATATATAGCCTATAGAAGAAATTCTATATGCATCAACAATGAATGGGTGGTGATTTGTTCATTGAGCTACTCGTAAGGTTTCAGTCATACAAAGAACCTTTTTGCTCAAAACAACTACCAAGAATGGTTGATATAAACAATTCATGTGGAGATACTCCCAAGACTGTAAGGGCGTGGAAGACTAGGGTTTCTTAAACATTTAGCCACATCTCGGGATTAGTCACAGAGTTTCAATCTCAGTTTGAGAATGAGGCTGGTTCGAATCTCAGGTCAAGGCACTCATAGACCATCCACTGGACAGATCAGCAGTCTTTTTAAGGAAACCAGGGTCAGACTCAGCCCAGCTGAGCTTGGAGCCCACTTGAGTGGTCCCACCTGAGTCTTTATTAAAGAACAAAAGAAAAAAACAACAAACCTACTCTACTGTTACTCTTCCTGTACATACCGATGGCTGGTGACAGGGAAAAGGACCAGTCACTACTCTCAAATTCACTGTCCTAAAATAAAGTCCATTAGCTTCCTGTTGACGGTGAGAGGAGAGGGGGCGGAGACTCAGCTCTGCTGAGGACACATTCTCACTCTGCTGGAGACAGAGACAGAGCATATGTGGAAAGATTTTAAAGAAAGAACAAAAGAGACACATTCCATGTAGAAAGCAATACAAAGGGGTTATATAAATTTATTTCTCATGTAATGATTACTTTAGAAAAAAAAAATCCCCACTTTCAATGCTGATCCATCTCATGGGTTTTTAAAAAAGTGATGAAAAGGACACGGACCCCCACACACAAAATACAATCCGGGTCTGTTCCATATTTACAGATCACCAATCATGAGAATAGACAAGTTGGCTAAAAGTTAACATTACTTCGAACAACCCAAATATTCCGCGCATGGCAAAGAACACCAACAACTCTGTAGGCCCTGGTGTCTTATTCCCTTTGCTGCATCAAAAGAAAGGGAGAAAAACCTTCCAGTGTTTTTCATTATTTCTTAGCCTCCCTATTTAATCAAGTTGGAGTGGACAGTTTCCCTTTGGTGTGAAAGTAAAGCACTGTGTATAAAACCTAAACCAGTTTCCTATTGAATATTTGGTTCCTCTTCTCCCTTTAGCAAATGCATGGCAGAGTCCACAGTGAGCTCCCAATTGACTTTTTCTTTAATGAAAGAAACAACAAAATTTGGAGAACCGAGTACTCCCTTTGAGGTGGTCAATGGGATACGTGATGAACCTCGGGCGGTCATCTGAGCACATGGGCACGGGATGGCCACACCATGCTTGCACAGGGAGAGATTCAATTCTGTATCCTTATGTAGTCAGGCTGAGATTGATACCAGGTAGATATTACCGCTGTGGCAAGCTCGTTGTCATTGTCTATGCTTCCAGGTAGCCAACGTTTTCAAAGCGAAAACTTTTCTCTGTGTAAAAATGGCTTCAGTTCTTTAGTGGCCAGAGTTAGCCTCGGAAGAAAACACTAGGCAAGTATTTCGTACCTTGAATTTGGACAGGCACCCAGCTGTGTGCACACTCCTCCAACTCTTCTCTACCGAGAACAGGAGGGAGGGGTTTATTTCACAGAGAAAGCCTTAACATATTAACATAAACACATCACTAAAGGTAACTGACAACATGTCCTATGGGAAAAGACCCCTCCTCCCCCCCAAAAAAAACCTGTATACATTTGGTAAGAATATAGCTCTGAAGAGAGAAAGGCACTTGAGTGGTTTTCTTCATTGGACCGAAAACCTTCATATCGTCTGCAAAGACAGGAAATAACGTTCGCTAATCTCTTGGACTTTCACAGTATAACATTGTAACAATAAATCTGGCCATTTAGAAAGCCTTTTTTTTCCCTCCCACTTCAGAATTTAGCTCTTGGATAAGCTGTCCCCCTGGACCCTTTCTATGTTTACAACTGATCCAAGTTGATTCAAAGCAGACAAAGGCACTTTGGGGAAAGTCTCGTGACCCCACAGGGGGTGGAGCTACTGGGTAAGGAGGCGGGGCCTCTTCTCTCCATAATGGCAGCAATGCTGTCTCGTCAAATGGTTGCTTGTCTTTTTTAAATAAAGTGACAACCTAGGGCTCCAGTTATGAATGCAGTTCAATCTCTACCATAAATCTCTAGAAAATATCAATCTCAATCAGTTATCTACTGTATGCTTATAATATCTAAAAATAAAAGTTTGATATAAATAAATGTCCTTTAGTGGCAGTATACTAAAAGACCAGCCCCTTGGCCTTCAGACAGCAGCTAACTATGCCAACCGCGAAGAGTTAGAATTGCAAAATCCATTTGGTCTGTCTTTTGTACCTGGCCAGTGGACGGCAGTCACGGCTCAGGGTTCCTAAGATGTTGACACAAATGAACTGAATTTGGCCCAGAGCCAAGTGGCCCACATTTTCCCAACGGCACAGAAAATTCTGCACGGGAATTACATAAGGTCCAGTACCATTTCAAATAAACCTGTGATGGATCCAGGAAGAAAGAAAGAAAGTGTACCACTACCAGAAACACAGAGATGACAGATTCCACAGGAGGAGCAACTAGACCGTGTAAAGTGCAGGAAGGCCTCAGTCATTATTCTAAAGCAGAAAATTATACTTTGATTATTATTTTTTTTTCAAATCCCCAAACACCAAGACATTTCAAGCCAACAAAACAACTTCTAAGTTTTTCTGGCATCCCAGATGTCAAAATTCTCCTTCATTTTAGGTACCAAGAAAAAAAAATCAGTGCATATGTAATATAAGTAAATAGAAAGAAACGCCCTACCCTCACTTTGTAAATTCTGTCCAATTGCCAGTTTTGTTTTGTTTTTTAAAGCATTTCCCCCTTTGGTGCTTTTGTGGCAACATGGGAACATGAGACACCACTTCTTCTTCTTCTTCTTCTTCCTCTTCCTCTTCCTCTTCCTCTTCCTCTTCCTCTTCCTCTTCCTCTTCTTCTTCTTCTTCTTCTGCCATGAAGTATGGGTGCGAATTCAACACTTTGGTCCTGATACCAGACATCCAGAGTGCCAAGGACGGACAAGTGCAGTGAAGACTGTCCAACAGATTCTGTCCACCTTTGCAGATAGGAGGTGCGTGTCCGGAAGGTAACGCTACCAGCGGCCACTGACGCTGGCAATGTCTGAGTGATACTGGCGGGGCAGCCTCCCACTGGCTCCGCCTTCCAGGAAGGAGGTGCAGGATGCATTTGGTGGTTCGAAAAGTTTTCTCCGGTTTTTACTTAGCTCTAAGGAAAAGAATGAAAGAGAGAAAGAGCCGGCTGTTAGCAGGTCATTGGAGAGGTGCTCTGTGTAAGGAGAACACTTATCAGACCTCAGAGGATGGTGGTAGTGGGTTTTGTGGGGAAAGCCCTGTCGGTGGCAGAAGGTAGACATTCTAGTTAAGCGAGAGCATTTCTGAACATCACATGGCCTGCTGTGTGAGAGGCACTGACTGCTCACCTAGGAAACCAGGGCAAATGGTATTTGTTATGGTTTGTAAAACCCAGAGAAGTATCATGCTCAGAAATCTCTAGCCATCTTAGACAGTTTTGTTAGGCCAAATGTCATAGGCACAGAGGCACATGTATAATTTTAGCATGAGAAGATAAATCACACACACACACACACACACAGAGAGAGAGAGAGAGAGAGAGAGAGAGAGAGAGAGAGAGAGAGACTCCATGTCAAACACAGAAAACATGAAGGAAGGCAGGTAAATAAGACATGGAGAGGGACTCCCGTGCCTGAAGGCTGCCCAGGAGAGAATTAAACCACCACCCAACAATCACACCAACACACCAAGCCTGGGCTTTCCGAATGGCAGCCAGTTATCCACAGAGGAGAGCCTTGAACAGAAACATCCACTCAGTAAAGATCTTACCCGCTTAGAAAATGAATACTTAAAAAGCAATACCGAAATCTAAATTGTCAGGGAAAAATAAAACATCCTTCTTTAATCTCAAAGGACCTCGAGTACTTAGGAAATATATCTGATGAGTTTTCCACATGGCGGTACGGAACCAAACAGGAAAGCAAACAGCTAATCGTTGCAAGCAATATGTGACTAGGCATCCACCCCATTTGATAGACCCTGGCGTTACCAGAAAGCACTCTGGGAAGACACGCCAGGGGAATTCTGAGACAGGAATTTAGGATTTCTCATAAGCACCAAATGTCAGTCTCTCTAATTTGCTCAACTTTGAATAATCAGGACAGCGTACAACTAACTTGCTTGAAGACGTCTGTGTTCAGTGGACTTGGGCAGGAGATTCAACACCTCATATCTGCATAGAACTCAGTTTCGTACCATCCCCCCTTCATATATCATCTTTGGAATTCTGCGGTCACACCATGAGCCATGGGAGCTGCGGGGAGTCTTAGGATGAGAAAACAATTGGGTCTGGGATGAGCTGGGTAGGTAAGGACCACCAGACAGTCAGCCATACTCCTGTCTGCTGAGTACTGGAAGGTACTCCGCACAGCCTAACAGTTCCCCTGTTTTCAAATTGTAAATGTCTGCCCTGTAAGGCTTAAGTCAACCTCGGAGATACCCCTCTTTGTTAACACACTGTTCTTAGAGGAAAGATAACATTGTTGCATTAGAAGTGATGACAGATGACCTTCAAATTACTTCACTTTGATCAAGTCTTCCCTAAGGGGCAGATAACTCAAACATTCACTACTTTATAGATAAGAAAACTTGGTTTTTCAAGAGTTGATGTCCCTTGCTAGCACACGGACGCAGTGCAGAGCTGAGTTCCCACCTGACTGATGTCCAGTGAACACCGGGTTTCATGACCATAGATAACTAAGGCCTCACGATAGTGGGAAATGTCACCAGAGACATCACCACTTAAGGTGTGACCCGTGACAGAGTCTTAGTTTGTACCGCAGTATACCCAATCCATTCATGAATTGTAAGAATAGTTTGAAATCTGTGACGAGATAAGGCATCTCTATGAACAGGGTACACACTGGCACATGTGACACGGCTGTTGTTTCCGTCGCTACAGAATCTGGCATTCCTTTCTAAGAAGCTGAATGATTTGTGTCTTATTTTAAGAGCCCGCAAACACAGAACTTCAAAATTCAGATTCAAGATGGGGCTTAAAGGCAAACTAAGAGAAGACCATCTTTGGTCTCCCCGTTTTTTTCTCATGGGGCTAAGGTAGGAACTTGGCAGTTTGTTCCCATATTACCAGAGAAGAGAAAGTATGGAAAGGGGCTGAATATTCTTCCCCGGCAGAGGAGCATGTGCAAGGAGCACATAAAAATAATGGGGACTGATGAAGCAATGTTCTGCTGTTTTTAAAAGGTCCCATCAGCTAGTCATCCAATAGATTACAATGATCATTGGGAGGATTTCAGGCCATCCACAAAGGTGTATTTCTAAAAGAGTAAACACGTAAGGCTCAAAAAAAGAACTGAAACAAAACAAAACAAAAAACCAAACCTGCCTGAGACAGGTTGTCAGGGCAAGTCCTACTGATGATATTTTAGGGTCTTAGTTATTTTTAAGATTCAAACAAAAGCTCTTCTCTCTAGTCGATTATTTTTGTCTCAGAAACCCTAAGGGGATAGTTTGTTTATTTGTTTGTTTGTTTTTCTTTCGGAAAATACCAACCTTTTTCTTTGAAATTCCAAGGTTCACACAATCCTGGCAGCTCTCAGGATCTTGTTGCGGATCTGAACAGAGTCACAAACTAAAAGAATAGGTCGGGAGATGTTAGATCTACCTGAGGCTGTGGCGGAAGGCTTGACAACAGGATACTAACGTGCCTCTCACTGAGTCTGTCTAGCTAGCTAACCAGTTATTAAGCTAGTCTCAGAATCTTCTGATTTAAAAGAAAAAAATAAAGTCAGATCTATTCTTGGATGCAACCTCTACATCTCAAGGTCATTCCCTACGGTTTTAGAATGCAGGCTTTCTGCCCCAAGATAAAACCTTGTACTCCAAGGACAAATTAAACAATCTGCACAGTTCTGTAAAGGAGTCTTGTGTGACTCATCTAACTGGAAGACAGGCATGAGTCTGGGCTGCCCAGCCAACCTACATCCATCTGGGGTAGAATGCTTGTGGGTTGTGATTGGGAGAAGCATCTTTTTGATGAAGCATTTCCTAATGACAACATTACGACTTGCAAAGAAAATGATGTATTTGGTTCTAGCAAATGCATTCAGCATAGTAAAGGCAAACCATCCTCGAGTGTGATCAAAGACCCCATGATGTGTGTAGCAGTCCCTTGGCACCTAATTCCCTTTTTAAAGGCAAGAGAACCTGTGAGCCCATCAGGAGAGGCGGTCTCCAAAACATGCATACCAACCTCAGAGGAACACACTAAAGTGGATGTGGTGGTTCGTATATGCTTGGCCCAAGAGGTGGCGCTATTAGGAGGTATGGCCTTGTTGGAATAAATATGTCACGGTGGGAGTGGGATTTGAGACCCTTCACATGGGAGACAGTCTTCTCCTGTCTGCCTTTGGATTAAGATGTAGAACTTCCAGATCCTCCAGCCCCATGTCCGCCTGGATGCTGCCATGTTCCCGCCTTGATAATAATGGACTAAACCTTTGAACCTGTAAGCCAGCCCCAATTAAATGTTTTCATTTGTAAGAGTTGCCTTGGTCATGGTGTCTGTTCAGAACAATGGAAACCCTAGCTAAGACAGTGGACAATCAGAAAAATAGAGGATCCAAAACCTCATCTGTCTTACTCCACATTCTCCCAAACCTAGACTTAGGGATGCTGCCATATTCCAGAGGATAGCTTCCTGATGACCCACCTACCACTTGTGAAAATGTTGGGGAGCTGTCCTCTGTGGCAAGTGCTGGGGTAGATAGTTCTCTGTATAGAAGGGCTGACCTGTATCCATAAGCATGTGACTTAGGCAAACACCAAGCAGCACCTCAGTTTCGTTTGAAAATCAACGAAAGACTGTGGGAGTATCTAACGTGAGAGTGTTAAGAATAACACTCTATGATCCTATGAAATCACAGTGAACAAAGCAATCTTCTTACTAAGATAGCCAAAGGAACAGACAAGGGTTTGGAGCAGCTGGCTAAGAGTATTCCCTGATTCTCTAGCTTTCTGTTTTCATCAAGCCTGGTGAGGGATTTCACAAAGGGACAGGTCTGGGTAATGGGAGGTGAGTCACGCAATCTCCACCACAGTCCACATTCACAACAAGCCAAAACCAAGAGAGATTTGGAGACTGGTCCAGACTCAAGGATCAATGACTGGGCCCGGCAGAACCGAAGTGTCCTGTCTGAGTCCACTGTTCCCCTCACACATACTGTGATGAGCTCTTGACTAATCAGGAATTACACATGCACCCGAACACTGTTAAAACAGGCTGGTGCCCCACCCCCACCCCACCCAGGAAACGTAGAGACCTGGAGGTTATATGCAGACGCTACTGTGGAGGAGACAAAGGTTTTCTAGGAGCATGTGGGTCTGGTAATGCTGCTAAGTGAAATGGCCAATCACTAAAGGCTTTTTGAATTGTATTTTCCAATTTGATTAGCGGACACTGCCTGGAAAGGATATTCACCAGCCAGATGCAACTCTTCCCCTCACACTGGCCCAGCCCTGCAAAGTCACAGTCCCCCCAGAAAAGATAGCTTGGCTTCTGCCTTTATTTAGTGACACTGTCTTTTCAAGGGGCAGGCACAAATGAACTTGACATTCAAGAGCACTGCTGGAAAGACTTCTTGCTCTCCTCTCTCTGAACACTTTTGAGGTGCACTGACATATGTGTGCACCATCCTGATGTCACCTGCATGGCACCCATCGAGTACATACAAAGCACTTGCTAAATGAATATGCAACAGCCCACCCACAGGGCAGACTAGGGATGCTGATACTAGTTTTCTTCCACCTATGACTCAAATTCTGCTAAAACATTAGAAAAAAAATTATAGGGCGTTAAGTCTGATCATCCAGCCAAGAAACACCATGAGGGCTCATTTCCTCTCAGGGTGATGACCCTGGCGTTCAAGGGCATACGCATATGAACACGGCTTTCAGTCAAGAATAATTGCTCACCCTGTCTCATGTTCTGTACGGGTCAATCTTGGCTACATCTTTTTTGAGGAGTTCTATTATAAGAAACAGAATCGCCAAGGCAGACTTCAGGCAGGGCCTTGTGTAGGGAGGAGGGTGTTCTCAGCATTGGTTAAGTGTTGGTAAGAGGAACCCGGCCACAACTGCATCATATCCACTGAGGTATCAGAAGACTGGGTAGCTGATGGACAGAACCCACCCTACATGCTGAGGCCCCTGGCAGAGGGCTTTTCAGATTTTAAAATACTCACCTGAAATTGCCAGCAGCATCTTCCTCCGGGCACCAAAGGTTGTGATTCCCAGCTCCTTCAGATCCTGGTCTGTGAGGGTGAGGAATGTCTGAAGGTCAATCTGTGGAAGACAGAAACAAGCTATGGCCAGTCGGTTAAGTATGCGTCTCTTGACCACCGTGGAATCTACCCGTTATTATATCAGTGTGTTAACTTCATCTACTTCCTAATATCAATGGCGGTGGCACCAACCTGAGGGCCAAAACAAATTAGGAAATGGGTGGTTGGGGCTGGAGAGGTGGCTCGGCAGTTAGGAGCACAGGTTGTGCTCTTCCAAAGGAACCTGGTTCAATTCCCAGCTCCCACATGGTGGCTCACAAGTGTCTGTAACTGCAGTCCTAGGATAGCTGATGTCCGACTCTGTCTTCTGTGAGTTCCTCACACACATGGTACACAGACATATATACATTCAGGAAAACACTCATACCCAGCAAATAACATCTCAAAAAAAAAAAAAAAAACCACAAACAGACACACATTGGTAAGCCGACGAGCTGAAGGTAATTGTTAACAGGAGGTAGAGTAAGCCCAGAACTTGACATCACCGAGACAAACTGAGCCCTGAGCCTCTTGGCAGCCATGCTTAAAACAGTACAAATACTGTACCACATTTGTGACCTGATAAGAAGGATAAGAAAGAAAGAGAGAGAGAGAGAGAGAGAGAGAGAGAGAGAGAAAGAAAAGAAAGAAAGAAAGAAAGAAAGAAAGAAAGAAAGAAAGAAAGAAAGAAAGATATGGATCTGTCCGGGGGACAGAATGTTTGTCAGCTTTCAATTATAGGAAGATACCAGTCAGTGGGAAGAATGTTTGTTAGCTTTTGGTTGAAGGAAGAAGCCAAAGTATACACAAGATGATATCTCCCATTGTGTTGTATACAACTGTGCATGAGAATCAAGTCCTCGGTCACCGAACACAGAAGACTATCTCAAGAACGGTACATAATTTGCTGTGTAATAGCACAGCTGTGTCCTGTGGCTTCCGCAACAAAGTGTAAGAGAGAACAGTGCAAGAGCAGGGCTCTTATTTTGAAGGGAGCCTGCAGGACTAGAAAGATAACTACAGTGAATTCAGATCCCATCTGCCCGTTACTAACATCCAGCTCTGGTAACAGGCGGTGGGTGATGTGCCCTGCAGGCTCTGGTACACATCCCTTATGACTGCAGATGGGAATGATAAGGCTCCATGCTGATCTCAGGGGAGCTGTGACCCCAATCCCCCTGCATCCATACCCCAAGTGCACTCTCTCAGCTAAAATGGTGAAGGATGGTTGGGGTGCTTTTCTGCAAACCCCACTCTACTTCTCTGCCTTTCCATGCTATACAAAATAAGAAATGAAACCACATTTTCTTCAGCAGCTTGGACAAAGCTAAGATCTGACCTAAAACGAAAGAACAACCACAGGTCAACAAGCAACTTCCTTCTGGAGGTCACGGCACCCACAACCCAAACAAAGACACCCAGGAAGACTCGGGCTGGCCAACCTCTTGCTGCTGGAAGACATCTGTGTATTTGCCCAGGCCCAGCTTGCTGAAAAGCTCCGGGAGATCAGAACCTTTGAAGCAGCTGTTCAGGTTGCAGCCGTTGCTTCCTGTCAGCGAGGAAATGCAGTCCATGTAGTTGCTGCTGCTTAGGTAATGCTCCCCTGGAAGGCAAAGGAGAGACAGTCAAGGCCACAGGAGAAGGCAGTTTAATTAAAAGTCTTAATCACTAAGCATTTCAGATTTCATTATTCAGCAGAGCCAAGCACAGGCTGGGGGAGCGTGGTCATCTGTCACCACAGGATGAGCTCTTCAAGGAAATGCCATTCACTGCTGTTGGGAGGCTCTTGCCGTTCTGAGGTTACACTCGTGAGGCAGAAAGTCAGTACTGGCGCCTCTGCTCTTAATAATCACGTGCTGTGTTTTTCCCTGAGCGTTTTCCCTTTATAGATTTGATGAGACACCAAGGAAGAGCCGGAAGGGAACTCTGGGACATGGTAAAGGAACAGGAAGTGATCAGGGGTCCAGGCTCCCTTTGGAGAGCAGGGTGGCTCTCTGTCCCCCAACCCATGCCTCCTACTCACTCAGAGGACTTGTGTAACACTACAGTACACACATCCCATTGCCTTGAAGAATGCATCTGGGCATCAAGTCCATCAAATTGGGCATCTCCAGAGTCAGTACCATCTGCAACGGTGGGTGAGGTGGAGGTGCCTGGATTTAATTTACAACAGAGCAAATGTGTTTCTGCTAACAGTAATATGGAAAACGGTCTTGGCTCTGCACCCCAGACCAACTGTCAATCTGGACCAGCGGAAGGACCACAGAACCGTACCCAACACCCAAGCAGAGGCTCAGAGGGTCTTAGCGAAGGTGTGTGGCCATGCTTGTCTTCTGCCTGTGTTGTTGAAGACCCACATCCTCTCACAGCAAGGATGTGTCCCTAAGAGGGATTTTGAGAGAGTTCAGAAGAGAGAGATGATGCTCCTCCAGGCCAGGTAGATCCATGCAGGCCACTCCGAAGCTCCCTCTGTAGCAGGGAAACCTCAGAGCGTGCTTTGCCTGGGTTTCTCAAGTCACAGATCACCCCCCCCGCCGCATTCCCTCATGCAAACTGAGCAGCTCTCTCCAACATCTCAATGGCCAGTCATTCATGAACATTTCCTTTGGAAAACAAGTGTTTTCTTACGGGAAGACTATGAAGGGATCCCAAACTAGCATCTAAAATAAGATCTTTGGGCCAATATTTGGCGGTAAGGCAGAAGTCTCCCCCCACCCCAAAGGGTATTTCAAGGGTGCTACAAAGCCACGTCCTGGGAGCCCCTCAGGGACCACTGCCTTTGAGCAGGTACAAGTTAACCACAGGGTGATCATATAAATTGCCATCCAAGTGATGAACTTACCTTCCAGGAGAGCAAAGGGGTGCTACCAAAATCTACAGCTGAGCAACGTATAAAACAGAGGACGCTAAGAAGGAAGAAACTTTGAGGCTAAGACCCAGGGTATAAAGAAAAGGTGGCCAAGCCCATCCTTGTGATAATTAAAATGCTGGACCAGTATTATTATATACACTGTAGATCTGGGCCAAATAAAACATATTCGTCAAAATTTAAACAGCTATTTGAAAAACAGAAATATTTATAATGGCCCACAACTTGGTGTGGATCGTTGGTATGTTCATGTTAGCTGTTGATAGTTCCTATGCCTTCTTTTAAACCCCACCTCTACTTTTACAATTTCCTGGGGAAAGTCAGACAATTGGGCTCCATTACTCCCCCCACCCATGGCCCTTTTTCTCCACAAGCTCATCTTAACCTAACTTTAAATTCAGCAACTTAATACAGTCAGTGTAAGTATCTAATGTTAGCTGAAGGAAAGGAGAAATTCAAAGCCAACTTACACTGGGCTACAAGGCAAACACACCTACATCCCAAACCCTTCGTGGAACAGCAGCCTGCCTCTGGGCTGACTGCACTGTGGGTGTTTAGAGAATCAGACAGTAGCTGACGTAGTCTCCAGCTACAAATAGTTCATCGGGGAGAAGAGTTGACCTGACCTCTCTTTCTGATTTAAGAAAGCCGTGGTAAAGACCATTGGCTCGTCTTCAAGTTGGATACACTGACAACACAGCCACCTTAATTAACCACAACCGTAGGCTACAAGGTCCACTGCACTCAAATACGATGCCTTCAGATATCCCGATGCTATGTTTTTGGAATACCCAATTCGTCAAGAACCCTGAATAAACAGGCATTATTGACCCACTTCCTGGTCATTGTGCTATCTTTTTGTCTGGAGTAATTTTTCGGTTCACGATAATCCATCCTGCCCAAACAGGATCTCCATAATGACAAAACCAGTTGACAGGCCCATGTCAATTGGGGAGATCTCACAAGGTTCCACCCCCTAGCTGAAGAGCTGCAGGCAACCCATAGCTGCTGAGAGAGGGAGTCAGGAAGGCATGGGAGAGAGTGGAGAAAATGAGGTAGCGACAGCTCTCACATACGCATTCCAAAATTTAAGATTTAAGTTAAAAGCCCTATTTTCACCTTTAATAGCTAGCTTTTCTTCGGTTTTCCAGTGTGCTACTTTGATTGTACCTTACTCAAGTGCTTTCATAGGTTCCCGTCTCTAACTCACTATATGGAGACAATGAGTGTGCACACGCTTGCGTTAATCCCTCCACAGATGTCTACAGAACATGTTCCTGCTAGGTGTGAGACACAGCCCAATGCACAGTTCTCAATAAGCATGCATTAGGTATGCTTATGACTCACAGAACTCAAATCCTACAGGGTAGGTCATGTCAGTAAATAAGGGCATTTTGGGGATGGCAAGCATTAGAGTATACGCCAGGTACAAAACCCACTGTGGGGGAACTGAGCGTCCTTCACAGGGAGGAACCAGGAAGTCTTTGGAAAGAGGCCACACATGACTCAGACCAAGGCAAACAAGAGAAGACTGGCTTCCAGACAGCTAGGAGGAAGGTCTCTCAAAGCCTATCTCCACAGTGACACACTTCCAACAAGGCCACACCTCCTCCAACAAGGCCACACCTCCTCCAACAAGGCCACACCTCCTCCAACAAGGCCACACCTCCTCCAACAAGGCCACACCTCCTAATACTACCACTCCCTGGGCCAAGCCTATTCAAACCACCACACTCAACTATGACTCAACTCTCAGCTCCTTCTCTGCACCATGCCTGCCTGGATGCTGCCATGCTTCCTACCATGATAATAATGGACTGAACCTCTGAACCTGTATGCCAGCCTCAATTAAATGTTGTCCTTTATAAGAGTTGCCTTTGTCGTGGTGTCTCTTTTCTCACTGCTAGTCTTACTGCCTCCCTCACTTCACACCTCAGGAGCGAGCTGCTTACACCTCCCCCTCTCAGGAAAGGCTAGTCTAGGCTGATGCCTGAAAGTGTAACCAGAAATCAAGCTCACTTGATTTGTTCTGCTTGCGCTTGGGGCTGCCGATCGGTGCTGAGAATTCGCCGTGACCCATGGGGCCTATTCCATTTCGGTCTCTCCAGTTGTCGGAATCACTTCCACTTGCCAGGTGCTCACGACTGCTGGACCTTGAGAGGGACAATGAGGAGCCCTGTAAAGAGTCCAAGCCAAGGGAAGGATGAGTTCAACAAAGTGGACTTCTCAGAGTAGGAGAGAGAGATGGATAAAATAAATACAAACGATACCAACACAATGTCTTTTTGGTTAGCAGCTGGAGCACACCCATTCTCAGGAAGGTACCAAGGACAAATGCAGACAGAGTAATGTCCTTACCAATGAGACCCGACTCTACAGATGCGCACAGAGTCCCTAGTGAAAAGAATCCTTATAGTTTCAAAATGTCATAGTTGAGTGTGGTGCTTTGAATAGACTTGGCCCAGGGAGTGGTACTATTAGGAGGTGTGGCCTTGTTGGAAGTGTGTCACTGTGGGGGTAGGCTTTGAGAGACCGTCCTCCTAGCTTCCTGGAAGCCAGTCTTCTCTTGTTTGCTTTCAGAACAGAATGTAGAACTCTCAGGTCCTTCTCTAGCACCAGGTCTGCCTGGATCCTGCCATGCTTCCTACCATGATGATAATGGACTGAAACTCGGAACCAGTAAGCCAGCCCCAATTCAATGTTGTCCTTTATAAGAGTTGCCTTGGTCATGGTGTCTCTTCACATTGCTAGTCTTACTGCCTCCCTCGGTAATACAGCACATAAAACAAGGTTAGTGTCTTAGGGTTTTACTGCTGTGAACAGACACCGTGACCAAGGCAACTCTTATAAGAACAACATTTAATTGGGGCTGGCTTACAGATTCAGAGGTTCAGTTTAGTATCATCAAGGTAGGAACATGGAAGCATCCAGGCAGGCATGGTGCAGGAGATGCTGAGAGTTTTACATCTTCATCTGAAGGTTGCTAGCAGGATACTGGCTTCTAGGCAGCAAGAATGAGGGTCTTAAAGCCCACGCCCACAGTGACACACTTCCTCCAACAAAGCCAAACCTCCAAATAGTGCCACTCCCTGGGCCAAACGTATTCAAACCATGACAGCTAGTATTTTAAACCACCAAATCAGAAACAATCTATGCTTCCACGTACATTCTTGAACTTCTGCTGTGCTTAACCAGAGGCAGAGGAGCTTCTTCGAACGTGTGCCTAGATTACTCTTGCTGGAACCTCATCTCTGATGCCCCGTCACCTACTCACCTTCTGCTCTCAGACATCTCCAGTGAGTTCTGATGTTAGAATGGCCATGCCAATCACTCCTTGGACTCGATGCTCTTTCCCAAGATCCTGTGACATTGGCCCTATTTTATCACGTACATTTCTCAGCATGCCTGTCATCTATTCCTAAGGCCCAGGCAGCCTCTGCTGGTTAGGGATTAGGAATCTTACTGTCCACTTCCTTCTTGCCCATGTTGTTTCTTTCCCACCAGAAGGCATCACTGCCTAAAGCATCACACTAATGTGTACAATGCAGTACACCATGGGATGGTCTCAGAGATACTGAGTCACACTCAAGGATTCCCTTTCCTTTGGGATGCCTTTGCAGGTTTGGGGCAATCCTACTGGGAAATGATGGCTTCTAAGATAGAAAAAAAATCCACAGATTTTCCAGTGAAAATATCTTTCATATCCTAAACCAAGATAAATCCAGAGTAGCAAGGGCCAACGACCACTGAATTCTGGCAGAAGCTGCAGCCCTGAGGAATTGCTAGCATCCTACAGCTCGCCACTCTCCTGGAAGACTGATCCAAGTCCCACACAAATGGCAGACCTCCAAAGATGGCGATTCCTGCTCTTCCACTAGCAGATCTAAAATATCCACTGGGCAGTTCGCCTGCACACTGAGTTGTGTGAGATTAAACATTATCAGAACCCCTTCCTTACTTAGTGTTGGGGAAGTTGAAAACCACCCGTGGTTCCCAAGTCGTGCTTTGATTCACTTCGGAGAATAGGTGACCCTTGTGCTTTTAAGATGTAGACCGCAGAAAGAAAATGGAGAAAAATCCCAAATGCCTTTGAGGCTCAGTTCAAAGCTACCTTGTTTGTTTTTTGATGATCTACTATAACACCACGCAGGCAGAAAAATAAAAGATGGAAAGTGCCTGCCTCTTATCTAAAGAACTTTTAGGGAAGACAGGGTAATTATTTGAAAAGATTGTTCAACTCCGGCTTCTCAATAACTCAAGAGTACAGAGCTCAAAGTATCTAGTTCTCGTGCCAAGCAAGGTCCTGCATTAGGAAGCGGAGGCACCTGGGCACACAGTGGGCGGGGGATTGCTCAGCCTCCGGGACAGCAGCAGCCAGGGCTGCTACAGCTCACATGCTACAACATGTTCTCTTTGCTTTTTTTTTTTTTCATAATAAGAGTAAAAAAATTAAAGAAGGTGGGGGCATTTCTAGTCACCCTACAATTTAAACATGGCAGACATCTGGATACTCTATCATCTATCTATCTGTCTGTCTGTCTGTCTGTCTGTCTGACTGTCTATCTATCCATCCATCCCTTCTCCCCCACTCTCTCATTCTTTCAATAGGAGCTGCCCACTACTGCTTCTTAGATCCTTCCCCATAGCCTTCATCCATGGAAGCCAGCCTCAGTCCTTCCTGTTTTAATCTTTGAGCTATTACAGAGAAAAGTAGAGAGGCTTGCCTGCCCGGGGAGCTGCTGCCACAGAAAACTCAGTGATGCTGCATGTGGACCCTCCCTCTTTATGAAGAAATACCTGGTCCTGAGGCAAGTGCAGGGCATCACTCCTAAGGAAAACCAGAGTCTATCTGCCAGCATTCAGAGAGGCGATGGTAAGAAGCAGACGACATAGGGCTTCCCTGTGCTCCAGGCTCCCTGTCACTGCTGGCACAAGTGGACTGACTAAATCAGTCAAGGAAGTAGAGCAGGCTAGCCCGAGTCAGTCAAAACAACAAAGACACAGGAGAAGGTTGGCTACTAGACAGAGGCCCTGTACATTTCTAATCCCCAGAAAGTCATCTGTCTGACCTTGGGTAAGTGCAAGAGTAGAAGGCATTTCAAGGTTCTGTGTTTGTTTTGGACAAAAATGTCATTAGTGTTTCAGCACTGAATATCCCTTACAGCAGAGTTTTCTTGGATCTCTGGCATCCAACTGTGGCTTACATCCAAGCCACTCTGTCCCTGTGACCATATGTTGGAGAGCTTGACAACAAAAAGGTTCTCCAAGTGAATAAAAATTATGTCTGTCTGTCTGTCTGTCTCTGTCTCTTTCTCTCTCTGTCTGTCTCTGTCTCTCTCTCTCTGTCTCTCTCTCTCTCTCTCTCTCCTTCCCTCTCTCTGTATGTGTGTCATGTCACATGACTACATCAATTCATCTTTCCCTATGCACTTCTTGAGTTAACTCATTAAGGAGATGTTCTAGTTCATTCTGGGATAATGAAGTCAAGTCCTTCTCTCACGTTTCCTGGCCTATGTCTTGGTGAAGATACAGCCCCTCTGGGAGCCTCTTTTCAAACTAGAAGTTTGTGGGGACTGTATGAACTTATCCATGACCATACACCATGGAAAGCACCAAAGAAGTAAGTGAATCCAGTTCAAGATCACGATCACTAATATCTTATGTGTCCACATAACACCCTGCACTTTGGACACAAAAAGCATGAATGCCTTTAATGGTTGTTTACTTCTTCCAATGAGGAAGACAGTCTCCACCTTCAGAAGCCTGGCTTTTCCTGTGGACACAGTCCTCCAGCAGAACTAATAGCAGCTTCCTAGTATGACTAGGTACCTGACAACACAACCTCATAGAAAATGCAAGTTGATGAGAATAACAAAGCATCAGCAAATCTATACACACAACAGGTGGAATTTATCAGCTCTCAGAAGCTCTACACCTCGCCTCTGTATTCTGCATAATTCCCAACTTGCTATAATGGCAGGCTCCAAGCAGGGAAGGGAAGGGCATTTCTGAAGTTAAATGTTTCATTTCAGAACCTACAAAATGGCGGTCGACAACCCCATGCTCTACTCCGTGGAAAGCAGAGGCGAGGGAGGCAGAGCACTGACTGCAGGGTGCAGGGCCAAATCTCAGCCTTAGCTTAATTCTTCTGCTAACAAAGGAGGATGCTATTTCCTCTCAGAGCTCCAGCGGCCTGATGGGGAAGTGGACACCTACAGCCCCAAAGTGCCGCTATTCCTGCTGCTAAAGGCTACTTTAATCTTAAATATAGCCTGTCAGGTGGCTACTGTAACCCTGACAATGGAATTTCCTGGGGGAGTATTATTCAATAATGCTTTTCTTCTTCCCTTGCTCAAGCGAGATAAAGAAAATAATTTAAAAGTATTTGCTTTTTGCCTTGGATCCTGCAACAATCTTACTACAATGAAGACAGGTTGAGGAAAGGAACTTCATCTACAAATCCTATGATTTAGACTAATCGTTCTGAAACCCACAGCCAGCACATTTGAAGCCAGCAGGGCTGACAGAGACTGATGATTCTGGGTTTAATTGTTCTTACCCCACCCACCGGCTGCAATCTCCCAGCTTGTCTGTGTGCAAGCTGCCCAGACCCCCACTCCCTAAGGCCAAAATCTGACATTCTCAGAAGGACAGGGTCTGCTCAGAGTCACGTGAAACCTGGCCAGGAGGATGGAGTTCGGGACCTTCCTCCGAATGCAAAGAACACCAGATTCCAGCATCGCCATGGCGCACTTCACAGCCAACATCTGGGAAACATAAGAATGTTGGAACTGCTGCTTGAGATGCTTCCTGCCGAGCTCCTGGCATATCTCAACGTACCCAAAGTTAACTCCGAGTTGAAAACTCTGTTTTTATTGACTACTTGCCTTTCCCCCTATGGTGGCTTGATAGTGATACTCTCAGACAAAGGGACCCTTTGTGAGCTTGTATGAAACACTGCAGCTGTTCTTTGCTTGATCTTAGCCCCGCTCTATCGTGTAGGATACCCTCCATCCAACAAAAACTTACCCCCACTTTTAAATTTCCATCAAACATATAGTTTAACAACTTGGAAGGGGGAGAGAAAAGTCTACAGTGTGAGATTACATCCATTTGACACGAGTTCACAAAAACAGAGAGGGAACCAAGCCATTCTGTCCCCATGACTGTAAAGAGCCAGGGACAGGAGGGAGCTAGCTGTTCTGAGGAAAGATGGGCCGGCGGATAACTATGTACCTCATAGGCGGTTGTCATCGTGGGCTTATAGGACACGTGGTTGGCTCTCCTCAGCTCCTTGATCGTTTCTGCCGGCATGGACTTCGAGAACCCCAGGCCACTCCATGTATTCGTAGGCGTTCTGACCTCAGTCACCACTGGCTTCTTTAACATCGCTTTGGAAAACGGAACAGAAAGCAGGCGTGTGTTTAATGTAATTCTTCAATCTATGAAAAAGTTATAGCTCAATATTATTTCTTAATGTGAGAGGCCTAAGAGGGAAACATTTTATCGGATGAAAAATAAATGTGGAAAGGCTGCAGGACTCCTTAATTATGTGCATGTGTCTCACAAGATACATTTTATTTCCAGCAGAATCCGTGCATCACAAACTCATATATTTTGGGTTTCTTTTAATATGCACCTCCCCCCCAAAAAAAAATCACCTGGAGAACTTTAAAATGAAGGTATACTGAAAGACGGAGGTAGGAAACACTCCTTGGTCACTTACCTTTGGTGGCTAATAGTTTCTTCTGCTCATAGTCAAATGCCTGAAAAAGAAATACAGAGAGAATGAATGGCTTTGTCACCGGTTTCCCGAGCATCCCACCAATAAATAACTCCTGACTCTGCTTGGACCATCAGCTAAGCTCTGCATCATGGGACCACAAACATAGAACACAAGTGTAATGAACGTAAATGCTTCTTCAACACCAACTGAAATAATCTACTACTTTTATCTAACTTGAAGTCAGTGGCAAGAGAAGGGAATTTCCCTACACAATTAAAGTAAATTCTCTTTATCGAGAGTACCTTCCACATCAGGACTGTATGCAAACGTGAAGAGCCTAATAGTTGCACAAGCATCAAAGGAATATGTCACAGAATGGCTTCAAGCAACGGTTGTCTCTCCTTCTGTCTCAGAATCCTTCTTTACATAGGTAAGCAAGATGGTGACTGGGATGATACTAATACCACACAGGAAGTTATCAACCACACTGCTAAAGCCTTAGCTTTTGAAGTCAGATAACTGCAACGATCTAGCTTTGGATATTAATGATGGAGTAAGATTAAACCTGTATACCCTGGTACTGCAGAGATAAGAGGACCACATGTCCGCTAAGAACACTGAACAGCTAACTAGGCAGAAGCCAGGACAGACCTTTCTGAAGAAAGCTATGCCTGCGTAGCTACATCTCAGATGCTAACCCAGTCCCGCCTCCCCAGTCTAGAGAACAGATAAGACTTGATTTAAAGCCCTACCACGAAGATCAAGAACCTACAGGCAAGAGCTCTTAGGCTCGTCTCCCAGAAGGCTGTATCAGCATATATAACGTTCTCGGGGAATCGCAGACTGGAACAGAACACGGAAAAGGGTGCAAGGAGCTAAGAATAACCTTGGGCCAGATGATAAACAGCGGCGGCCCAGCACGCACAGTAGCTCTGTGAACATGGTGGTACCTCAGAGAGCCTGGTTTTTAGATGACACTGTTTTATGACAGTTTGCAGGAAGGGGGGGGCAACTTAAAATTGAACTGGAAGTTAAAGATCAAGTTTAATTCTTAGGGGCAAGGTGTGGGCAAACACTGAGGAGCTACTGTTTAAAATACAGTGCTGAGCTCTGTGAAAGACACAATGTATCAGAACTCACCCAGAGCCTAAACAACCGACAGCCTCTGGAGGACTGGGAAGGAGAGATGTGTGAAAAAGAGTGCTAGAGAGGCCATTGCCCTAGGCTGATGGATAGATGGCTACTGTCTTCAGCCATAGAAAGAGGCAGGTCTTCAGAGTGTCTTGTGCCAAAGCTCACTAGCAACTCTCACAGATTTCCACTAATGGCATAAACACATCTAGTTAGAGAGTCACCATGAGGATACTGGCATCCAACCCACAGGAAAGGACCATAGAACTTACTCATGGGGATCCAAAGATGAGAGCAAGAAGAGAACAACCATTAAGATGGCACTGGGGTCATAAAGTGAACTTTTTATTTTTAAAACACTGATGTATTATGAAGGCTTTGTATTCTATCCACCTCAAGAGTCATGCAAATGTTCAAATGCAAAGGATTAAAGAAAAAAAAAAACAACAACCAGGAGTATTCATTCACACTGGAATGAAATTAGTATAGTGAAATTCATTTAACGCAGCTGGTTGGTTATTTATTTGTTTGTATTTCTAGGGTTTTGTGAAGTTTTCAGAGGGGGCAGGGATGAAGAAAGAGAATTCTTTACAAGGCAGGTGCTCCTTCCAGGTAATGTGCAGAAATCAAAATGTTTATGTATGTGTTACCCTCAAAAGCACTAAATCTTTGCCTCCCACACATGACCCATATGAAGATGAGATACGGAATCTCCTATGTAGTAAGCTGCTCTGAGTCACGCTACAAAGACAGTGATCAGGTAGAGCTGGCTGAGGAAGCTGTCTGGAGCCACCACGAACATTTAAACCACACAGTTGTCCTCCTCTTCCACAAAACTCAAATTCCACACTCGCTCTTCTCATAACCATTTTGAAACGGCACGAAATCTACTATCTCTACTTCCAAGACTACAGAAGAACATCAGATCTGCTTATCCAGGAGAAACACCATCTCTTACACATCCCTAATGCTTCATGTAACTAACCAGCATTGTTTGCTTCAAATGTAACAATGCAAATCACCATTTTTTTTTTTACTGGTACGAAGAATGAAAGAATCACTTTTCCTTAATCTAAATCCTGAATTTCATTCTTAATGCTCACAGCAAAACCCAATCCGAACTCTTGCATATCTGTTTGAGTGTCACACCGACCAGGATATAGGGGGACAAGCTAGCTTCTCTATAGCTCATGAACACTCTCTGCTTCCTCCATGCCCAGCCCAGCACCTGCCCTCCGATGACAGCAGATGCATCTATGTTACCTGCATGTGGACATATGTTGGCTGCGAGGCCAGGCGGGCCCTTTCCGAGTTCTGCTGGGCAGCTGCTGCCCTCTCAGCTGCACGCTCGCTCCCCGGGGCCTTCTTGTCAGCCAGAGGACTTTCTGTGGCACTCAGTTCGGGGTCTGAGAGGAATCTGTCAGTGGTGCTGTGAAAGAGAGTAGGGAATTCACTGCTCCGCCTCACATACTGACAAGGCTGCGTGGTTCCCGCATGCGTGTTCGTTGCGTGTACTTCAGCCGTCACCTGCCTTCACATGTCATTCAGTCGGCAGAGCAATGCCAAGGCATGGCAACACTGAGACAAACGTGTTGCTATCTTCCCACTGGCATGCGTGAAAAAGGACCTTATCCATGGTCATTGCTCTAGGGTGACTCTGGTCTCAAACCATAGGTTAAAACTGCTTTTCAATATGAAGGCACCTACATTACAGGCAGTCTACATGGTATTCTGCTTGTGGTACATGGGGAAATAGATACACAGATAAGATTTCTGATGTTTGTACATCAACCTGACACCAAGCCTTTCTGCAAAATTTGAGCACAGCCTGAGCAAGCCAGAAGGTAGACAGATGACAGATATGGCATGTGTGAGGTGCATGTGGCACTGGTTAAGAGGAAAAATAGCGAGCTCGTGAGGAATCAGGATGCACCTCAAGCCAAAAAAAAAAAAAACTGGCTGATTTGTTCAATTATAACCAATCATCTGTTCTGTTCCTACATCAGAAGATAAGACATGAGCAATAAACTTTGCCTGACAGGTGTTGACAGAAGACATGTGACCTAGAAATGAAGGAGCTTTTCAAGTTCCCTAGGACCAAAGGCCAGGAGAGCAGCTACTCAGGGGGCAGAACACAAAGGAAGGGGTCCAGGATCAAATCACTGGGGCTGTTTAAACCCCAGTGAGGCGGGGCTGGTCCAGCTAAGAGAATCATTAGAGCCAAAGAAAGGGGCAGGCCACACTGGTGTGAGAAAGGTCAAGGAGCCAGGGCAGGAGGCCCCAGGCTCCATCCAGGTGAGAGAAAAGGAAAACGATTCAGAAGGTGGGGAAACCAAAATGTCAGGTGTAGGCGGTGAGGGATTCAAGAGGCAGCAGGAAGCACCACATCACTTCAGGAACATACGCTGAAGAGTGGCCTTGTGGGGGAATCAGTGGACACACAGGTGAGGCAGAACTGGGTAGGATGAGTCTGGGGTTTATGAAAATACAGTGGCTTTAGTAAGAAATGGAGGAAGTAAAGATATACATGTTAATGATTGCATAAAGACACTCCTTAGAGACAGCCTCGGAGCTAAGAAGACAGAAGAGGAAATAGAGTAGTCAGCAGGTGGGAGACCCTTTCCTCTGTAAAGAGGACAAAAACAATAAATAAATTAATTAATTAATAAAGGCAATCTCAGGATAGCACAGTGGAAACTGTTGTACACAGAGGAGCTCTACCTAATAAGACGCAAGGGTTGATCCAAACGTTTACAAGTCTGCAGCTGCCTGCACTGGAGGGAAGGAAGCTAAAGTTTAAGAATCCACCTCAATACCAGCTAAGGTGGATTCGCGGCTGGGAGCCGTCTAACAAGAGCCAGAGGGTAAAACTCACCCATACCGGTTACTGAATCGCAGAGAGAACGTGTAAGCTTCAGAGTGATAAGGGTTGTTTTTTAAGGACACAGAAAGCCAACGATGAAGTCGGGGGACATTTATAAAGATGGGCAAGGGTGGAAACAGAAGTTGTTCCTTGAGTTTTTGAAAGATTAATTGTGAGTGGGAATTGCCAAGCCTACGATGAGCCCCAGCTTGACTTGAGTTAGGGTCTCAACCACCGAGCTCAAAGCAAATTCCCCTCCCATCATTTCCCGCCAGCAGGAGGAGCACACGTACTGGAGGTGTGAGTTCTTCGTGCCCTGCAGTAGCTCAACAGTCTGCCGCTTGGCACAGGAGACCTTGGAAGGACCCAGCATCTGCTTCAAGTCGCCAGCGTTTCCGGAATGGGAGGGACTTCGAGGCATGCCCACTTCAACAAAGGCATCATTGCAGCCTGAGGGGGGAGGTTGGCAGGGGAGGGGGGAAAGAGGAGCAAAATGTAACTATCGCCTTATATATGCCATGGAGAAAAACACAAAACCTATCTCTGTAGAAACCCAATTTTATTGTGTCCTGACAATGTCGTCAGCGGCAAAGAGGGCACACCTCAGCAAGCTCAGGCTGTCTCCAGAATGCAACCTCAAGGGAAGACCTGGTATTTCCTGAAGATTATTTGGAATAAGGAATGGATATATGTATATATATGTGTGTGTGTGTGTGTGTGTGTACATATATATATGTATATATATATATATGTACACACACACACATATATACACATATATACATATATACACACATATATATACACATATACACACACATATATATATAAACACAAACATATATATACATTTATGTGTGTATATGTATGTATATATGTGTATATATACACACACACATACACACATTAGTGGGGCTGATCTTTTCCCTAAATACTGTTGGTACTAGGCGGGATATATATTTACGTAGGAACATTAGTGGGGGCCTTGTTTTCTTGGTTTCCATTCCCTCTCTTTGTTTTCTCCTTTCCCTCTCACAGTACAAAGGTGTACACAGGGCTTTGGGCACACTAGACCAGTATATCTACCATGAACTATAGCCTCAACCCCAAATGTAGTCTTTTGTTTCCTCCCCAGTGCTTGGGACTAAGCCCAGGGCCTTCCTTACACATGCTAGGCACATGCTATTCCAGTGAACTACACTCCCAGCCCCACTCAAGTTTCTTCAAGATTGTTAGGGGCTGAACTGCTGTGCAAACAGTCATTGAGCTGATGTCTTCTCATCACACAATAATGGAATAGCGGTATTTCTGCAGAAAGTGCCGTTCAGTTCACTGTTCACCATGTTCTTTGGGATTTCATGCAAGACCTTGACTCTGCATGGTGGAGGGAGGCAGAGTCAGCAGGGGTGAGTAGAAACCAACTCAGAATCCCTGCAGTCTCAGGGAGCTGGGGGTGGGGCTTTACCCAAGCTACAAGCCAGTCTGAGAAGGAAAGTTCCCATTCCTTACCTTCCACCGAGTTGGATTTAGTAGAAGCCTGTTCGGGCCCAGCTGTCTGCATGGATGGATCACCATGATTGGAACTCAGCACTTTTTCCCCAAGTGATGAAGTAGACAGCGGACCGTATTTCATGTTTGGAGGCTGAAATAAATAAAATAAAAATACAACTGAGAAAGAAGTCCAGCGAACATCCCAATGGGTTTCAAGTGGCTTCTCTCTTGCTGAAAGCACAAAACCCTCCTCCGTAACTGTTCATCCCCTCAATCTCACAAGAGGGTGTTACCTGCACATGCCCATTTATAGAAGCAGAGATGTTTTTGCCTTCTGTCTGCATGCTGTTGATGTGGACATCAACAGGGGTCAAGCCTGGTGGAGGAGACGGGGCTGTGTGCCCGTACGTGGGCACTCCAGACAGCAAGATATTGGTTAATGTAGCCTGGGTGGTGGATGGGATCATAAGGTGTGGTATGGTAGAAAAACCTGAAATGGTCCATGAAGACAGATGTTAGAAGGGAACAGCCTAGAAGAAACTGTTCCGTTTAATAACAATAAGAAACTTTTTTTTTCCCTGCGAGTTCAGAATAATTTGACATCTCTGTAAACAGATTGAACATTACTATAGAAACCATAAGCAGAGGCTTATGAGATAGCCTCCAGGGTGGCTAAGGGCTCCTGCTTCCAAATCTGATGCCCTGAGTTTGATACCTGGGACCCATGTGCTAGAAAAGAACTCAACGGCTGTAAGTTGCCCTTTGACCTACACACACACACACACACACAAATAAATAACATGTTTTCCTTAAATGAAACAATGTTAAAATGAGATAGCCATGTCTAACAGGTTCCTCTCGCAGAGTTGGGGAGAGCAGAGAGGCTAAGCCTAGGCGTGTGAGTATGAACTAGCTCCTCCAGGAAGCTGGGTCCTCAAGGTTCACCTGGAACCTTCATTGGCCTTGGCCATTGTTCCCTGAGCATCCGGCTGCCTTTCCTAATCTGTTTATCACCCATGCAGATGATGTTCTGGTTGCTTGAAAAGCCCCTGGCTTTTCTGAGCTTCATTTTAACTAATTTACACAGCAGGGAAGCTTTTCTTTGGGCTAAAGGATGTTCTCTTTGAACAGTGATTTTTTTTTTCACTTAAAGAACTAGAATCCCTTGTAAATTCTATTAAAGGAATAAAAAAAGAAAACAAGTATCCATGAATTCTCACTTCTGGGACACTGACCTGTGGCGCTTGCAGTGTTAGCAATTGAGGGAGCCCACAAGGTAGGGCTTGGGGTACCAGAACTTGAACTTTGCAAAGGACTGACGGAGGTGTTGAGAGCATTCAGGAGTGAGTTTGGGGTGGTTGACGTGTTGAGCGACAAGGTGGTGGGTCCCAATAGACCTGTGGGGAACAGAAGTCAAGTCAAGGCACTTAAGTTCAAGATTCGGAAACAGGGGCACCATTCATATTGCCTTTTGGAACAAGTACCAATAGAATCTGACACTTTCTAATCTGTCAAATACGGGTGACAGGTTTTTTTTCTTTTTAAATGTCATTTCAGATATTCCTGTGAAATATCTCTTTTCGCAACTCCAACAATGGAATTCGCTCACCCTCAAATGGACAATAGATGCCATAGGATGGGAAGACAGGTGTGGCCAATCTAGCACAGCAACCAGGTACACTGAGAATTTACTAGATGCAAGCCTGCTGACAACCTAGGATGGACAAACCTCTGCTCAAGAGGAAGCTTGTTTTTCACATCTCTAACTGTTGGCTTCCCAACAAATCCCTTTCCAAGCGTTCCGTTCACACCTGGCAGCGCCTAGGAGCGCCTTCCCTGTGGTAGACTGGCTGGCTGACACTGAGTGGAGAGGATGGTCGACCAGATGGTTCTATGCGTGTCTGAACACACACTGACTTCTTTGGGCTTCAATCCAATGACTGAAACTTGCCCAGGGGATTACACGCTGGCTTTGATTTTCGTCCCAAGTATCCGTGTGCCTGCTGTTACTAGGGATATTCTCCTTTGGGAATATGGGATCTTAAAGAAAATGTTCATTTCTAATGTGTTTCCGGAAGTGCACAGGGGTCAGTGTTAGAGGAGGTGGGTGGCCAAGGAAACCTCTCCTCCACTCAGGGAACTTGGCTTCTCCAACCACTTTATCCACCCAGAACACAATAAAACTGGCTCCTTCTAAGTCAGTGGTTCTCAACCTTCCTAATACCATGATTCTTTAATAAAGTTCCTGTTATGGTGACCTCCCCAACCATAAAATTAATTTGCTGCCACTTCATAGCTATAATTTTGCTACAGCTCCAAATCTTGGTGTAACTATCTGTTATGCAGGATATCCAATAGGCAACCCCTATAAAAGGGTCATGTGACCCCCCCCAAAAGGGGCTGCAACCCACAGGTTGAGAACTGTTGTAAGTTCACCAGTACGGTCCAGTCTACCGCACTGCTGTGTTGCTGTGGCTGTTCATGTCTGTGTGAAAGAGACAGCTTTGGTTGAGGAAGACCCTGCCTTAGCATAATAGTGTTTGAGTGTGGCAATGTGGAACCCAAAAAAGTTCTACACACATTACTTCTTTCAGTGTTGGGGATCGAACCTAGGTCCTCCTGCGTGCATCCTACCAGTGAGCCCTAACACAGCCCATCCTACTATGTATCTTAAAGCCAAAAGGAAGGGAAAACAAAACTAGAGAGATTGGCTGGCCTACTGTGCTCCCTTTTTATATGAAGGCATCTGGGAAACAACAAGAAAAATGGTAAGCCTGGTCTAATGGTAACAGAGTCCTTGGCCAGCCTGTGAGGAAGAAGGTCGTTTCTAAATGAGGACACTATTTCAGGACCAGCAAGGACTCATTGTGCTTTCCTAAAAATCTAAACACCTTGAGTGGTAAGAGCTTGGCTTGACTCTCCTTGGCGGCCTTGGGCTTATCAGGCCTATCGATAGGGTAGGGGTGGCTATGGGGGATGGGGATGGGTTCAGGGACTCTCCCCCTCCCCTTCTGTAACTGCCCTCTAGATTTGCAATTACTTTTTGGAACAAACTGGATAATCTTTATCTCTAGGGAGGGAAGGCAGAACAGCAAAAGCGAGAGAGCACAGAACACATACATCACAGTCAGCGGCTCCCTTCCATCTCGATGGCATTCTTAATTTAGCAGAACAAACACAAGCCACCGAAAGTGAACAGTCCGGCTGTGATTATTTAAGCCAACATAGGAAGAATCTGGGCAACCCAAATCCATAGAGGCTAACGAACAGAAAATCTCAGACCAGATGAATCAGGTCTGGGTCCCGTTGCTCTTCATGGGGGCATTGGGGCTCAAAGAAGAAAATAGCATTTAGACACAGCACAAGGATAGAAAGGCAGGGAACCCGATAAGCAGTTCCCCAGTGGTAATAATAAACTTTATACCTAGTCCAGTGAGTCCAAGGCCTGCCGAAGCTAAGATATCCAGGCTGGGACATGCCAGGCCGGCAGGGCACGATGCTGGGGAGAGACTGGTTGCTATGGAAACCCCACTGCTTTCAAGTCCGAGGAGACACTTCCTTGCTTCATACATATTTAAGGCATTTCGCTCAACACTTTTCACAATCACAGACTATGAAAACACATAATGGGAAAAAAAGATGACACTGAGGTAGGTATACAATGGACCGAGGGGTAATGAACATGTAAATGAAGAACCACAGGAGGCTGGATACCACCCTCCGTTAGCCTCCCCTTCTGACACTCCCTGTAAAATAATGTGTGTGTGTGTGTGTGTGTGTGTGTGTGTGTGTGTGTGTGTGTGTGTGTGTATGTATGTATGTATATATGTTCAGTAGTTAGAATCCAGCCATTAAAGCACAGTTTCTTCCAGTCCAACATACGCTCTTTTTTTTTTTCCTGAACTCTTGGAATTCTTTTTGTTTCTATCTTTGTTCAGCCAAGCCCTTCTCTGAGTCTGATACTGATGATAGTTGTGGTTACGTTAGTCAAACAGGGGACTTTATGATGTCTAAAACCCATGGCCTGTTCTCGAACTCTCTACACCTTGCTCCTCCAAGTCTTGGGAAGCTTTAAGGTTTTCCCTGAAAAAAAAAATGTGTGGTTGTTTCCTCCCAGTGGACAGAAATGTCACATTTACTCATGTAGAAACCATATGGGGAACAGATACACACAAACCATTCTATACACAAGATGGCATCTATGGTTTAGAAATTTTAATAAAGTATGGCAGATTTATCTACCTTAGTAAGTTAGGACTTTCTGACCCCAGAATCCATCTGCACATCCTCCAGTGGCTTCCTCTTGTGGATGTGGACACATGGATACACACACATACACACATCTCCATATACACATGTACTTGCACATATATATACAGAAATAACATACATACATGCAACCACACACATGCACTTACATGTGCACACACAAAAAAAACTGAATAGAATTGGAAAGAGAAGAGAGGTAGGGAGAAGGAGAGAGAGAAAGAGAGAGAGAGAGAGAGAGAGAGAGAGAGAGAGAGAGAGAGAGAGAGGAGAGATATTGCCTTCTACATGAGAGAGGAGCACCTGTGAATGTGGACCCTGGTCCTAACCTGACACCAAATCTGGTCCAGCCTGAATCTTGTGCTTGCTGGTGTCTATGATTACAGACTCCCTTATCCGTGGCTGCCTGCTCGGTGGCATTGTGACAGGAGCCCAAACAAATTAGGATGCTTACTGGTTTATTTTTTACTCAACGATACACTCCCCTGCACTAAAGCAGTGACTCTGTATTACTGTGCAGTGTCAAATTACGTTCACCGGACTTTATAAAGCAATTTGAAACCAGCATTTAATAATAATAAAAAAAAAGTTAGAAAAACTCAGCTGTTTGGAATCCTGCTTCAAAACATTCCTCAAACTTCAAAACTCAGTTACAGTTTATCAATCTTTTAAGTTTTTAACATTCAGAAAAAAGAGAATTAATATAGCCTTGTCATACTTCATACCTGGAACAAAGACAATTTTGTTTGGGATTTTTGTTAAGCCCCCCCCCCAGATTATTTCCTAGTCATCCTTTCCTTCCTAGTGGTGACCTTGGGATGTCCCCCATCCCCTCTGCCAGCTGATGCTTTGTGATTTGGAAAATATAAGAACGTGAGTACTGCTACATAACTTGTCGTTCCAGCCTTGGGAGCCTTCCACTGCTCACCTCTGCTCAGCTTACAGGGTAGCAGCCCAAGGGCTGCCAGTGGTGACAACCACTGGTGAAGTCCCAGGGTCACAGGCTTTAACGGGCCTGCAGCAACTTTCGCGATGTTAATGCATGCACATTCTTCCTACCTAGCCTTCTCACGGGCACTTCAGATCAGATTTCTCGCATTACGCGTCTTCCCACCCTTGTAATTTACCAGATCGCATCGGACAGAGAAGGTGCTAAGAGGGCCGAGAGCTTTCATTACCCACAGGCTTTATTAAAGGGAAGAAGAGAGCAGAAAAGGAAGCCATTCTGCTAGGCCAGCACAGTGCTGGATACCACAAGTTCTGCAAATTGATTTGAACATGCACACACACACACACATACACATATAAGTCTCCTTAGCTACTCCCTAGCAACCAAGTAAAGCCTGGAGTCAGCGGATTACAAATTAAGAGTCCTTCTGATAAATACTCAGAAGTGTTGTTCACCCAATAGGTCTGCTTTGGCTTTCTGACAGAGGTTAGTATTGATTTCCGTTAACGGCTTGACTGGTTTCGATTGTCACACCATTAGTGTGTGAGCGCTTCCTTTGCTCCACCCCTTCACCAGTGTGTGGCTGAATGCCACCCTGACTGGGGTGACCTGGGGTCTTCATGGAATTTAAATTTGCTTTTGTTTGATGGCTAGTGAGGCTGAACATTTTTATGTTTGCTAGCCATTTGTAGATCATGGTTTTGTTTTGTTTTAGAACAGTCTGTTCGCTTCATTGTTTATTGACTGGGTTGGTTGATCTCTCATCAAAATTACTAAGTCAGCGAAATAGACTTCTCTTTCTTGTGTATTTATAGAGAAACGACAGTTACTAAAAAATGAACCAGAAGGAAAATCAAAAACCATATGAAGAAAATAGAGGCGGATAACAGAGGGCAATGTTATAAATGTAGTTGTTATAACCAAATATACATATCAGAAATTAGTCCCACGTGAATGATCAACCAGAGTGGGTAGAGAAGGCTATTCCAGATGCTTCGTCGGGTACAGACTCTGAACCAACCTTGCTCGGCTGTTTGGGCTTTGGTTTAATACTGATAAAGACGTCCAGCTGTTCCATCAGCTGCGCAATGACCTGTGGGTCCACTTCAATGTCTTCCTTCATATCAAACATCAACACCAGAGGAAGACACCCCTAGACGAGACAGCGGGAGTGTCAGGAGTTAGTCATCGCAGCACCTGGGACCTGAGCATCTCTCCAAATAATACAGGATCGAGTATTTAAACTAAACCATTCACATCTTCATAACAAGGAAGGTGTGGGACCAAGGTCAGGGGCAGGAGGCTATCCGGGAACTGAAACTGTTAAGCTTGTGGGTTTGGTGTGACACCCTCCACCCCCCTTTTTTTTAAGTCTACTCTTTACTACGGAAAAATCCTTCATTGTCTTGTCTGGCTTCAATTCCTTTAGCAATTGTACGAATTGAGATTCTTCACCATTCTGAGGTTCAGGTCATATGCCCTTGCTCGATGACATACTGGAAGCTACATCACTGTATCCTGAGGGAGAACTCAACTGCTGTTTAATAACTCCCGCTTTGGCCCAGCCCAGCCTATCCCACCACAGATTTGCATACTCTGGATCTGTCTCTTCCACCAGGCCATGCCCAACTCTCAATGTCCTATAGGTGGAGTCTATATATAACTCAGACCTTTCTTAATTGGTCCTTTGAATGTAACTTAAACTGTAGCCACGTCCTCCTGGGCATAAGCAGGGTACTACTGGGCCAACCCTCAACACGTTTTTAGGAGCTGTGGGGGTCACTACAGAGGCTACCTTTGGCTCTCTTCTCTGTTCATTTCTTCCTGACCCTCAATGCCTACAACCGCCCAGCTTCTCTTCCTCTTGTGTAAGATGCTGTTCAGCTCAAGCCCTGGGTCACTGAATTTTTATTTTTATTTAAGATATATTTATCACTGGGCAGTAGTGGTGCACGCCTTTAATCCCAGCACTTGGGAGGCAGAGGCAGGTGGATTTCTGAGTTCAAGGCCAGCCTGGTCTACAGAGTGAGTTCCAGGACAGCCAGGGCTACACAGAGAAACCCTGTCTCGAAAAACCAAAAAAAAAAAAAGATTTATTTATCTTATATATTTGAGTACACTGTTGCTGTCTTCAGACACATCAAAAGAGGACATCAGATCTCATTGCAGATGGTTGTGAGCCACCATGTGGTGGTTGGGAATTGAACTCAGGACCTCTGGAAGAGCAGGCAGTGCTCTTGAATGCTAAGCTATCTCTCCAGCCCGGTTCCTGGATTTTCTTTTTTTTTTTTTTAAAGAAGTATTAGACAATGCTGGCGACAATGTGATCAAAATGAAAAACTGCCTTTCTGACTCATGAATAAAAGTGAGTTTCCTTCATGTATGGATAGCAAAAAGGATTGTTAAAACCTCTGAATTTCTCTCTCCTCTCTTTCAGTATTGCATAATAGTGTCTTTCGAAAACCATCTCTATTTTTGGCAGGTGTGGTCAGAGTAGGAATGTGAATCTGTGAACCTTTTCAAGCATTTTTAAGCTTGAAAAACATAACATCTGATGTCTAAAAATAGCATCTAAAGACCTTGGAGAGGAAGGCAGTATGAAGAGTAATTTGGCAGTTCCTATATGTAACTATGCCCCACTGCTAAAGCATTAATGACAACACAGCAAAATAAACGTGGCTAACAAAAAAATTATTCACAGAGTGAATTTTTAAACCTCCCATGGCCCTGATGAAGTATAAGAAGCTTGATCTGTCAGAGGAATGGACTCAGCAGTTCTAATCCGGGTTTTCTGAGTTGTTTTTGTTTTTAAATAGATTCGACAAGTTAATAGTGGAAGACCATGCCTGATGCCTACTAACTCAAATGTCACTAAAGGTTGGGCCTCAAGGAAAATAGTGTAATCAGTTTTTAATAAGAATCTCTGCCGGCCCAGCAATATGGCTGTCGCTACACACCAACCTACACACACTGGGGTTTCAAATAAACTTGTGAAGGAGAGAAAGGCCTTACGTCAGGATGCTTTGAATGACACAACAGATGCTTTTTTTTTCATACCACTCGAAATTAATGAGTGACAGTATTTTTATTTATATAATAAATTTATTAAATGTACAAAGGTTTTAGATTGCCAAGAATCAAGGTTTTTTTTAGATATATGAGAATAACGTGGGCCAGCCAGAGGCCAATAGCAGGTAGTTTCCTTGGCTATTGTTTCTCCATTTTTTAAAAGTTTTCTTTCATGAACTTGGAGCTCACAGATGAGCTGTACTGGCTGACCAGCAAGCTTCAGGAACCTATTTGTTTCTGCCTTTGCAGCCCTGGGATTGAAGACACACATCTCCACCTTTGCCTTCCTACATGAGTACTCGGAATCCAGACTCAGGTCTTCAGGCTTGTGTGGAAACTGAGCCATCCCCTGAGCCTGTGAAGGTGACCTTTAAATGGTGACCTTTTTAGTTTTCTGTTTAAAGTTCCAACTGTGTATCAGCAACCCATGTCAGGCGTGATCGCCTTCCATCCACACCACAAAATGCATTCATCTGCAATCTCATCTGTCTTGAGTCTAAGTTAAGAAAAAATATTTTAAAAAATTGTTTCCCTACACAGTAAAATATAGCCTACGGTGGCACAATGACCCTTATTCTCCAGTTTATTTTCCTTTTACCAGGAAACTTTCCTGTTTGCCTGGACTTCCAAACGGCTTTCTCAAATCGCAAGTACCCAGAGTCAGAGCGGAAACACGGTGTATTCAAAGAAGCTAAAGAAAGGGACCACAAAGCTGACCCCAGCAGCCTTACCATGAGATACTGCCTAGCCAGGCAGACAGACTCGATAGTACCCTGGAGGTAGACGGTGGATTTCTTCTGCGGATTGCTGGGGTCGGGAAAGTGAATCTGCGCCCCTGTCCTCTGCATGATGTGTTTGACGTTGCTCCCGTTCCGGCCCATCATGAAGAGGTGATGCTGGGCTGCGATGTCCAGTTGCGTGCTCACGGGGATGGCGGAAGCCAAGCTCCCCGCGAGGTGTTCCAATAGCATGGCGGTCCCTTCCTGGCAGAGAAAAGCAGAGTGGGGGGAGAGAGAGAGGGAGAGAGAGAGAGAGAGAGAGAGAGAGAGAGAGAGAGAGAGAGAGAGGAGAGAGAACAGTAATCCTATCAAATACAACTGTCTCCACACAGGCAAAGTTTCTATTGTACCTCCAACAGCTATGGAAATATTAGTAGCCTGTTCTAGGAGCCCAGAAGTAGCACAAAGGAAATTGCTGCAAACCAATTAGTCTACTACCCATAAACACATGCATGGTGGCACAGGTCTATCAATGATCCCAGCACCCGGGAAGCTGAGGAGAACCGTGATCTAGTTTTTACTTTTTAATTAATTGATATTTATTTATTTAATGTTCATTGATGTTCTGCCTGCTTGTGTATATGTTTGAAGATGTCAGATCCCCAGGAACTGGAGTTACAGCCAGTTGTGAGCTGCCGTGTGGATGCTGGGAATTGAACTCGGGTCCTTTGGGTGAGCAGCCAGTGTTCTTAACTACTGAGCTATCTCTCCAGCCCTGAGAGAATCGTGAATTTAAGGTCAGCATAAGGATTCCCCCCCACACACACATACACACACAAAATAAATAAATAAATAAAATAACAGAAAGCTTTCACGATCTGTGTTTTGAGGTCGTTTGAAGTCACCAACCTTCACAGCATTAGTGTTATTCTGAGAACCTCGCACTATGACGGTAGCACCATACATTCGAGACCTCTGCTTAAAGGACACAGAGACACTGTACGTCTGTGAGATGTGCTGGATGGGAGCGGTGTTGGGATCCGGGACTGGCTGGAGAATCCCAGCAATCGGTAACTCAAACATCAGCACCAAAGGAAGCAGCTCCTAGGAGAGGCCAAAACAACGGTGAAGCGTGACATCTACAGAGAGGCCCATTGCTCATCTGTTTCCTTCTAAAGATGGGTTTTGAGACATGAACTGCCTTCACCGGAGGCACCTGAGTCAGGCAAAAGTAAGAATGTTTCCACAATGTTTCCAACAGAGAAGCATTTACAAGCAAACCTAGAGTCTTGTGGTCTAAATCCCAACGAAAAAAATGCCTCCACCAGAGGCCAGAAGACAGAGGTCGGAATGCTCCCAGAGTCACCCTGCTCCACTGTCTCCTGCTTCCTGAAATGGGACTTGGTTACCAAATGGCAAACGATGCTATTTCAGCCCTCTCGTTATGTAAATACAGTGAGCATGCATGCATGATCCCCAAAGATTAGTGCAGTTACCCGAATCCTCGCTCGGGCTGATTCTACTCCCGCTGGCTGTCCTGCTATAGACACCTGCAAAATAAGAGAGCAAGGCTTACTCCATCACTCATGCCCCCGTCTGCCTTCCTGGGAGCCACACCCTTGCTGCTGAACACTTGAGCATGGGTTCTCCTGACCAATAGGCCTCAGCCAAACCCATCGAACCAGAATTGGATTTTAATGAGACCCTCTTCCAGTGATATCTGGCCACTGATCTACTTTGTCTTTGGACTTAGTCACAGCCAGTAGCTTCCAGGAAGTCATTCTGGCCCCTTTGTCAATACTTCTGTCCACAGCGTTCCCCTCTTTTGTTTAAAGTCTTTTTGTGTCTGTATGTGAGGTACACACATACTAACAGCTATGATGTGAATGTATTGGACTCTTTAGCCACAAGCCTTCATCCTCCGCACCAGCAGGCAGATAATCACAGCCTTGGTACCCGCCTCTCCAGCTTTCTCCATAGATCCCTGGGCCTCACCAAGACCCACCAACTAAAGCATTAGTCTTATGTTGGGTGACAGAGCCATCTTGTCACAGCGACCTCTGGGTATTCTGAATAATGCCTGTCCCTTCATTCAAGGCTTTCAACCTAGAACACACGTACGTGCCAGTGTATAAACACTCCCCGATTCACCCCTCAGGACTGACAAGAACCCCATTACGGGACCAGCTGAGAAGACAGAACATATCTAAATAACACAGCAGCAGTATGCACTCTTCAAGGCTTTTTCGAGTGCTTGTGTGTGGGCCCGTGACTGCCAAAGCCAAAAAACAGCAGCAGATGTACCTAGGCAAACGCAGCTGTGCTCCCAGCAGTGTGAGGAAGAGGGCATCTATCTGTGCACTGCCTCTTAGAGGGGGACTTCAGCAGCTACTTCTACAACTGTGTCGCCAGAACCCACAAACTGAACAAGGCCCCCAGGCAAGACAACCCTGATACCCCATCCCTTGATATCTACTATTTAGAGATGAAGCAGAGAACCATAGATCTACAACTCATCCTTGGTCCAGCAGAGTACCTCAGCCTCCTAGGGAGCAGGGGAGCCCACCACCCACCACATCTACCATCTATAGATTCCTCTGGGTCCTTTTTGCCCTCATCTTTCAGAAGGGATTTGCCTACTGAGGCTCAAGGGTGTAGAGGGACCAGTCACCTGGTTGCTCTTTTCTGCCTGGTTGTTCCTGTTGGAGTCTGGGAAGTGGATGTGGCAGCCCGTGTCTTCCATCACCTTTTTAATGTTGTTACCACCCTTGCCGATGACGTGGGAGTGCTCTGTGTGTGAGACATCCATCTTCAACGTGACGCGGTTGCTCTGTGTGGAAGCAGGGTTATGTCCCAATGTGTTAACACCACCAAACACTCTGCCCTTACGGCTTTTCAGCATTAACAGTAACGGACCCCACTTCATGGGAAACTACAGATTTCTCAACAGGGTGGCTCTCAACCTAGCAAATTTCTATTCATTTCTTCATTAAGAAGAAATCTTGTTTTATGGTAAATTTTTCAGAAGGTGGTAACAATTTATTTTTTAACCCCAACCCATTGGCAGAAGATCCTCTCTTAAATACAGTCAATTGCAATGGTAAATAAATTATTCAGGGTTTTTCTTTTCTTTTAAAGGCATTATTCATGAAATGGTTCAAATTCCTGAAGACAGAGGAAAGTGTGATCACATGACTACAGATGCCGTGTTGGGCAGCAGATCTATGATGAGGAGGAAAGCCCCCACTGAGATCACACATGTCACCGACAACACATGCTGTCTGAGTTCCTGTACACAGGAGCTCTTAACATGGCTACCTGCCCAACCTTACATCCATCCCTTATTCCAGCTGATGGGAAGAGAAGTGGAGAACTCATAAGAACTTCCACCCTGGCTGATGAAGGCATGAATAAATGAACCCCAATCAGAGGCTCAATTACCTTAAAGAAAGTGTAAAAAAATCCCACGTCATGGGGAGTAAAAAGGTGGGGGTCAAACTGGCATCCCAATATTTAATTCTGAGGAATTTAATCTAATGTTATGAGGACTGGTATAAAACTTTTTAAACTTGTGAGACTGTTAATGTCATTCCTGAACAGTAAGACTCTTGACATTAAAATATCAGTAATTTAGAAACCTTCTGAAATCATCAATTTTTGACTTGCACCCAAAACTATTTTTATTTTGAAGCTTAACTTCTTTCACTTTAACCCTCGAAATAGAAGAAAGTATCACCAGGTTTGGGGAGGAAAAAAAAACAACCCTAAGCTACTTAAAAATTACAAGGTAAATAATTCTTAAAAATTAAAAAAACAAAAAGAACAAAGATAAATACAGAAAAACAAAAGACCAGAGGACAAGATCAGAAATATTTCAATAAAATATTAAGTAGTAAGGAAAAATAAAAAGCTGGAACCACAGCCTAGATTTGAACCGCTTCCCGGGTACCAGCTTTGAGATGTTGGCCAAATTATTTAACATCTCTGTGGTGAGTTACTTTTGAGGATAAATCAAATTATTATCTGTACAAAATTAAGCACCTGGCCTATAGCCAGGGCTTCCGGCGTGCTTAAAGAAACAGCATCGCAAATGAGTGTAGGCTTGCGTGTGTTCAGCTTCTGTCATTATTCTTCTATATATGTATACTTGCAGTGGATGGGCATCCCATTCACTCCAGGCCAAGTGTGAGCACACACACACGTGAGCACACACACAGAGATACTCACACAGGGCCACAGGGCTCCTATGACCTCAGAAAAGCAAACGTGCTCATTTCTGTGCTAAAGAGGGCCAATGGATGTTTCTGAAGATGGCATATATGTGCAAACATATGTATGTACATGGAGACATATGTGTGTGTGTATGTGTGTGTGTGTGTATACATGATTACTTGATATGATAGAAACTATTCATACTAGGCACTTTCTCCATCTCCCTCCCCCAGCAGAATTGAGTGCGCCTTTCAAACATTCCTGATATCTTCTCCCTGGTTTTCCCTTCTCCACGTGGCTCTTGGGTACCAGCTTGGAGTGTTCACTTACTTTTGTGTCTAAGACAGACATGATCATTTCTTTGGCTTCCTTCACATCCTCTTTCCTCCCAGAAACCTTGATGTGGGGATCTGGAAAGAATGGGAAGAAAAGCTTACATGAGATGTCACGCCTCCCTCAACTGCCTGCTCTGAGACACTCCACAGTACACCCTGTGGTCACCACACTGTATCGATGTGATCACCATAATCACAAGCATAGGAAAGCAACCAGTGTGTGCATTTATCAACCTTTTTTCCGCCTCTTCTGAAAACTGGATGAGCAATTTACCTTCAACCTTTGCAAAATGAGCAAATCACACCACTGTACAATAAAACAAGGTATTTATGAATTTGTGAATTGCGTTCCCGCTATATTCTTGGCCCCATTCTAAAGATAATAATTTGTTTAATCCAAGCTATACCTTTGTGAAGAGTTTATTTTTGTTTTTGTTTGTTTGTTTGTTTTGTTTTTACAGAGAAAGCCAATGCAATAGTAACTTGCCCTAGAAAAAATGGATTTTATAAGACTCAGACCTGGCCCTGTAATGCAATCTCTTCCAACTCTGTCCACAATTTAAAACATGATGATGTATCACAGAAAACATCCTCATGGGCCAATATTCACAGAACAAGAAAGCCCACTCGGGAATATTTCATATTTATCCAGAGTTCATTTTGAGTGACTAATACACAGCATGATTTGTTTATTGAACTGGATTGTAAATAGGGAAGTGTCCAGTTATTCAAGAGGGATGACTGACTGCCTTCACTAGACTAGGTAGTGCACCAAGGCCTGGCGAATGAATGTATTAGTAAAGACGATTCCAGCACACACAGAGCTTGACTATGCAAGGAGGCTAAACAACATTTCATAAATTATTTCTACGTGTTATAACTGATTATCATCTGAAGGAGAGTAGGATACAAGACATAAGCATTGGAGAGCCGGCTGTAGTAGGGGAAGAGGCCTGTCAGGCTCACTAAGAGGAACTGGAGCGAAGGCCAGACACAGCTGGACTCTTCCAGCACAGGGAGGGTTCTGCACACGTCTCCTGGTCAAGCTGTGTTGCCCTGATGCTAAGGTTGAAGTCTGATGTTGATGGACAGCCCTGAGCTCGGTGCAAAAGGGCTGACTCTCTTTGTCAGCTGGAGCTTTCTCTTCTCCAAGCCATCTGCATCCCATGTTGACTACTTGAGGAATGTCACGTAGATTCCTGGAATGCCTCCCCGTGCTAATGGGGCATCTCAGTAGCCTTAACTGTCAGCCAATGGCCTTTCCCCCCACCCTATCCCCCCCCAGGTATTCTCACCCCCTTCCTCAAAACTAGATAACCATTGGTTTACCTTGAATAAAGTATATGTGTACAAGCCCACTCGAATAAAAGTATATGCACAAGCTAAGACCAGGGAGTTGTTTCAGAGAAGGCCTTCGCCTAAAACTAAGATCCTTGGAGAAGGCTTTCCCACTCTCTCTCCTCCCACAAGGCACTCGCTCTCAGGTGAATGGGGATCCTGTCTGATCTAGACTTTGCTTCATCCTTCCAGTCCATGTGCCACAGCATCTAGACACCCCGAGAGCGAGAAATCAAAGACTCGGAACCACAAGGGTGTGTGTTTCCATTTCTCCTTCACTGGGTTCCCAGAATTTAACAGTCTAGTTGTTCTGACACTGTACTGGCCAGCCTGGTTCAGATGAAGACCATTCTGGGGGAAGTGGAGAGTCCTTTGCCCAGTTGCATTAGTGGTAAAGTCAAGAAATAGATAGTTTTGTTATGGTCATCAATATGTCATGGTCATGGCCATAGCCAATGAATTCCGAGTCCTTTCTGTCTCACACAGGATAGAGAACCATAAATATCCAGTTACCTTCCACAACCACCAAGCCTTTCGTTCTTCCAAAGCATGAATTACCCAGGTTAAAGACCCAGAGCCACTGGGTAGGGATTATACCTAGACTACATATGTCTTCCCATGTCGGGATCCTCCACTGCCAGAGTACCCCACAGGTCAAAGTCAACGCCATGCTGAACACATCACATGTTTTGAGGTGCAACTGGTCAATTGGGGGAGAGGCCAGGGAAGAAATGGGAGGAGAAAAACATGTTCTTAAGACTACTCCGTTCCTCTGACCAGGATACGACTCCCTGTGGCTTTGGAATGCAGAATATGGGGTGAACCTGTACTTAATCACCCCTTTACTGGAGCCCTGCCCTTCTCTGCCCTGTCCACTCTGTTACCCCTGCCTGAGTCTCTCTTTATCCTCTTATCTTTTTAGCCCTGTCTCTGACATTTGCAAAGACTTTAAGTTTGCTCAAAACTTTCTAAAAACATGTTTCACAAGCTCTAAGTTCAGAGAACCTAAAAGCAAGGCACACGGACTCCCACCTACCACAGTCTAGGAGAGAACTCGTTTTTATCTCCAGAGATCCTGACCACTCGTTTCCCAATGCCTCCTCCCCAGGCCCAGCTTGGTGTTTTCTCTGTATCTGCTAAGACTCTCACCACGCTCCCCTTAAGACGTCTACATGAGTTGCCTCCTCCAGAACACTAACCACATTCAGAGCCCAGGCTCAAGTGTCCTCCACTTTGCTTCTTGCTTCTGCTGCCACTCTGAGAACCCTATGACCATCAGGCCTGCTGGTGTGCTTCACAACACGTACATGCCATGACCATTCACAATACAGGCATGTCACTGACTTATCCAGAGGACTCTTAAATACACAAAGAAAACCACATCAACCCATGAGAATGTTTGTTGCAATAGCTATGCACTGGTCTGACAGAAGTGACAAAATGATTCTTAAGAATATAAATCAGTATTATTTACACACACACACACACACACACACAGAGAGAGAGAGAGAGAGAGAGAGAGAGAGAGAGAGAGAGAAAGAGAGAGACAGAGACAGAGACACAGAGACAGAGACAAGGTATGTTAACTTGTAAACTCATTACTTCCCAGGCTGGATAACCACATTAAAATTCCTATACACCTGCACCTGTAGAGAAGCAGGTATGGTCAGTTTAAGGATAATTTGGTTATCAACCTTCTTTCTAACAACAGAACAATAAGCAAAAGAAAAAAGAAAAAAAAAGGAAAGGAAAAAAAAAAAACCTCAACAGCAAATTTGGAAGTGAATGAGCACCACCTAGTGGTCGGAAAGTGAATTATTACTTAACACAGCTGTGTCTGTGCAAGGTCTTCAAACCCCTAACCCTCAGGCCCAGCTCTTATTGGAAAGTGGCTCTTTAATTAGCCAAGCTTAATAGAAACAGAGAAAAACAAACACTGCCACATCGGGTTACAGGGCTGAGATGGGTAGGGGCATTCACGCTCGCCTTCCCTGGTCCTCTCTCACCTTGATGTAGAAGACATGTGCAGTCTGCCTACTTCTATTTTGAACAGAACCTCATTCATTTCTTGCCATGCCTGAGAGCCAGTGCCTGGTGATGATTTCGGTTTAAGATCATGTAAAATCAGAAGGGATAAAGGTTGCATTCCAATCCACCCTAGAAACACTCAACGGTGAGTCGTAGTATTTACCCCAATGATAAGCACAAAATGAATGGAGCATCAGCCGGAAAGCATCAACAGACAGATAAAGGAACCGAGTGCATAGCTCTCCCCTCCTCAAACTTAATTACTTTGAGTTCAAATCCCAATGGCGCTCCTTACTCGCCAACCACACCTCAGCCTCCCGTCTCATGTTGGTCACCTTAGAAATGAAGTGTCCCCAGCCTATGGCTTCCCCTGTGTGGACATGTCCTGTGACAGAGAGCTGTCAGTCCGCTCAATGGCACTATGGGTGCGGACCACCTGAATAAGCCCAGGGATGTTATAAACCCAGCGAGCCATCCACACCCACAGAGCTACTGAATAGACTAGCGGCTCTATATTATCAAGAATGTCTACATGGAGGAGACTCTAGACTCAGGTCCCTTTGTTTCCCGAGGTGACCATGTACCTTGGGCTTCCCCACCAAAATTCTAAATTTCAACTATTCTGATCCTAGTATCAGAGGCTCGCAAGAGTGTTGGTTTTCAGATTCAGACCACACCCGTCTGCTCCTGCCTTTCAGGTGTGTCACCTCCCATGGAAGAGAGGGGACTGTATAGCAACCATCTCATTAGAGAAATAACAGCTATGCTGGTCTGTGTACACCACAGAAGGAAAAAAAAGAAAATGGGCCCTGGTCTGTGTAGCTCAATACCTTCCACGGGGATGCTCTTATGGCTTCCATCTGTGAGTTTGTAGATGCCCTTGATGGTTCTTATGAGAACACTTCAAAAATGCATTTTTGGTAAACATTTTAAAGTTGAGATGCTTCCTGGTCCTAACCTTCAGCTTCACCGAGCTTTTAGGAAGATGGTCTCGGGCTCTGCTTCCACCCCTGGGCTGCCATCCTCACAGACATCCATGAAGCATGATGTAATCCTGAACTACCTTCTCTTCATTCCTTCCCACAGAAAACCCCAAAGAAAACACTTCACTCGGACACGCCCTTCATCGTGCCTCGGAAGGTTATGCGCTATTGATATTTTAGCTTAGGCTGTTGTTCTTCCCCCCACAGACTACAGCTGAGTCCTATCTTTGTGACTGAGCACTGTTGAGCACAGGCGGTACCCCACCATACCCCAAAATTCAGTCTATTTTTTAAAACAGTTTTAAAATTTCATTTTATATATGCGAGTACATGATAGCTCTCTTCATGAATACCAGAAGAGGGTATCAGATCCCATTACAGGTGGTTGTGAGCCACCATGTGGTTGCTGGGAATTGAATTCAGGACGTCTGATTAAGAGTCAGTGCTCTTAATCGCTGAGCCATCTCTCCAGCCCCCAAAATTCAGTCTATTATCCAATCTGGTCTGTTAGAGACAGACAGACAACCGCTTCCAATCACAACATCCCAAATAAAGGTCATCTGTGTAGAGCCCACATCCTGACCTGAAAGCACTGGTAAATTTTACCAAAGCAACCAACCAGCCTTAAACTCATGGAGAAGAGATCAGCATGAGGAATTTTTTCCTGGCTCAGATGTTTTTTTTTTAATTTTTATTTTTGTGTCAGGTTTAACTTCTTGAATATCT